GCTCCAGGGCAGTGGGCCCGGGGTCTGGCAGGCTCTCGGTGGGTGGGGTGGGGGCCCCCAAACCAAAGTCCTCTGGGGTAGGGGGCAGGGCTGGCAGGCATTCTGGGGGCAGGGTGGGGGAGGGGCGAGAGTATTTTTTCTTCGTGTAACTATAAATCCAGAATCAATCCTGCATCGCAGCCCACCTGTGTATAGAGATATAAATAGAGGGAAAGATATAAGAACTAAATTTGCTAATGACATAGTTTTAACCTAAATGCTATTTATCTCTGAGCCGTCCCTGTCCTCCGTGCAGAGGAAGTTGAGGTCATTCCTTCTTTTCTTCTCCGATCTTTTTTCTTGGCTTCTGACCAAAAACCAAGCTCTACCCCATCCCCGTCCCCGACCTGCAGCTGACGAGCGTGAAGACGCCGCGCCCGGGACTGCCTGTTCTCGAGGCCAGAGCTGCTGGGGGACCGAGTTTGTACATTTTCCATTTTGGAATTTTGAGTTCCAATTGTTGTAAAACTTAATTTCTCCCCAGTTTTTATATATATATTTTTTAGAGTTCCGTTTTTATTTATTAAAAACAAAAGGCCCAGCCCTGCCGAGGCCCGGGCGGCGTCCTCAGTCGGGTGGCCCCGGGGCCTTTGCGGTCCCGCCCGGCTCAGACGCTCGCCCAGACGCATGGACCCGAGAGGCGACGACGCGAGTGAATAAAGTGCACATGGACCCTGCGCCGTCTCCTGTTCCTTGTGGGCGCGGCCGGGGGCGGGAAGAGACGCGGGGCCGACCGGAAGGGGCGGGGCTGGGTACGCCGCTCAGAAGGCCAGGGCGGGCGAGCCCCCGAGGCCAGAGGGAAAGGGAAGAGCGCCGGGCCCGGGTCGCGGAGGCGGGCGCCGCCGGAACGCGAGGCGCGGGGCTGCTGCGGGCGGGCGCGAGTTCGCGCGGCACCGCCCTCGGCGTGACCTGCTGGCCGCTTCCGGCGCGGGAGGAGAATGTGGTCGCAGTGCGGGGCGCTCCGGAGCCTGGCCTTGGCGCGGTCGCGGGGAGCCCGGCCCTGCAGCGGGGATGGGGGCGTTTCCTACACGCAGGGGCAGCGGCCCGAACCCCAGACCCGCGAGTATTTCTACTACGTGGACCACCAGGGCCAGGTGGGAGGAAGCAAGGCCGTTGCTCGAGGGGCGGGGCCGGGAGAGGTGCCTGTGGGCGGGGCCGGAGGCGAGGGTTTCTGTGGGCGCGGCAGTTGCCAGAGGGGCGGGGCCGAAGGGAAGTCCCACGTGGGTGGGCGGGGCCGGGGGGGGTGGGCGACCTGGACTCGGCAGAGCTGGAGGAGCGCGCGCTGGAAAGACGGGAGCTGGGTCGGTCCGGCTGAGGCTCCTACACGGGCCGCGTCCCTGCTGCGTCGTGCAGCTCCGGACTCTGCCCTGCAAGCCCCCAGCCCTGGCGCTGACTTCTCGCCGCTGCCAGGGAGACACCCGGGCCGCCGCGCATTTTTTTGGAAGCCCTGTCAAAGGCAGCGGCGTGTCCGGGAGGCAGCAAGCCAGGTAGTCTCCGCGGAGGAGGTGACACAACTGATTACAAACTTGAAAAGAGGGAAAACGTGCAGGAAAGACTTGACTGACCAGGGAGCAGAAGTGCGCATAGATGCGGAGAAGTCGGCAGGGCCCCCAGGTTTACCTTCCACGAGCCTCCCTGCATTCGGTGTGCACAGACAAGCAGGAAAAGTGGGCTCGGGCCGGTTCAGGACCTCCCGAGCTTCCCAGCCTCCCCCTGCACGCTGGGACTCATCATGGCCCGGCCCTCTGTTTGCAGCTTTTCCTGGATGATTCCAAAATGAAGAATTTCATCACCTGCTTCAAAGGTAATGTTGTGCCTTCCTCCCCAGCCCTTTCTTTCTCCCTTCGGGCAGCCCCGGATGGGCTCCCGACTCTGCCGATGGGCCCAGCGCACCAAGGAATGGGCGTCCTGCGCTCAGGAGCCCCGCTGAGTGAGGCCAGGCGAACCTCTTGCCGCCGGCGCCTGCCTTCGGTGTGGTCCTGGGCCCGGCAGCCTTGGGAGCCCAGCGCGCTGAGCATCCGCGCCTTTCATCCCCCAGACCCGCAGTTCCTGGTCACCTTCTTCTCCCGCCTGAGACCCAACCGCAGCGGGCGCTACGAGGCCGCCTTCCCCTTCCTCTCGCCCTGCGGCAGAGAGCGCAACTTCCTGCGCTGCGAGGACCGGCCGGTGGTCTTCACGCACCTGCTGACCGCGGACCACAGGCCTCCGCGCCTCTCCTACTGCGGCGGTGGTGAGGCCCTGGCCGTGCCCTTCGAGCCGGCGCGCCTGCTGCCCCTGGCCGCCAACGGGCGCCTGTACCACCCGGCGCCGGAGCGTGCGGGTGGTGTGGGCCTGGTGCGCTCCGCCCTGGCCTTCGAGCTCAGCGCCTGCTTCGAGTACGGGCCCGGCGCGCCCGCGCTGCCCTCGCACGTGCTCTGGCAGGGCCGCCGCCTCGCCCTCACCATGGACCTGGCCCCGCTGCTGCTCGCGGCTCGGCCCCCCTGAGCGGGGCCACGGGAAAGGCAGGAGGCCGCGGGCGCCCCTCACCCCGCTCCCGCGGGACCCCACGCCCCGGAAAGCCCGCGCCACCCGCACTCGCGACAGCCTAGTGCGCCTGCGCGCCCCGCCTCCCCATCTGGCGCTGTCCTTGGTGCTGCCGCGGCCCGGCCCTCCCGGACCCTCCGCTCCCCACGGCGCGCGCCTCCCGCGCACCAGACTCCGGCGCCCTCCGGATTGGCCCGCGCTGGAGACGTCAGGCCCAGGCGGCGGGCGCGGGACTCTGGTGCGCGTGCGCGAGCGTCCCCCGCCCCCTCCCATCCCGGCCGCTGCTCGGACCGGGGCCGCCACCTGCACGGCGGGGGAGCCGCTCGCCGCGGGAGCGTCAGGTGAGGGGACGCCCGGCCCAAGGTCACCAGGCGTGGGGAGACTGGGGGGTCGGGGACCACCCTGGCTCTGACCCTGGTGCGCTCCGAGAAGGGCGTGGGTCTTGGAGGGGGATGGGGAACGCGGAGGCCACGCCCTCCCTGAGCCCGGCCGAAAACCGACCGGCGCTCGTGGGTAGCAGAGGAGACCGTGGGGGATACAGGCACCGGGTCGCAGTGCTGCAGAGGTGCGCAAGGGCCGCCCGGAGACCAGCTTGGGCCTCGCACTGTGCCCTAGGCGGCACAGGGCGTTCCATCCTCTTCCCTCCCCGCCTCCCACACAGAGGGGCGCCCAGGAGGCAGTTACAGTCGTCGCGGAATCCTGCGTGTGACACCCCGCCCCTGCCCAGCGGATTAGGGGGTGTCCTCTGGTAAAAGGATTTCTGGGCTTCTTCCAGCCTGGGGCCCTCATCCCTGCTCTGGCAGGCCTTTCTACACCAATCTGCATCTAGGGGGGGTCCGCGTGAGTAGCAGCGCCCTGAGATCTGAGGCCAAGAACCTTCTCCACTTGAGAAGCCTTCCTGCTGGAGGCTGACTGGGCCAGGCCTGGAGCCACGTACCAACCCTTTTTACCCAGGGAATGGATCCCAGGGGCCCAGATAACGCCCCCAACTTCTTGGGGTTCACACTCATCTTGAGACATCTGGGAACTGCCTCCGCCTGGGCCAGAGCTATTCCATTAAAACTTTATTGCTGTGCTTATTTATCTCTAGTGACTTTAAATAATCATATGACTTACAATTTAGGGCAAGATTTAAACAAACACCAAGGTCACTTGGTCCCGTCCCTTTCCACATGACTTGGCAAAGAGGAAGAGCTGGTGGACAGGCAAATGTTTGGGGAGGCCTGCCAGATGAGGCTGGGAGACAGGACACCTGCAGCCCTGTCTTCCCTGGCTTCGGGTAGGCTGGCTGGCTTAGTCCAGATCCCTGCTTTTAAAACTGGTTCCAAGGCCGGGCGCGGTGGCTCACGCCTGTAATCCCAGCACTTTGGGAGGCCGAGACAGGCGGATCACAAGGTCAGGAGATCGAGACCATCCTGGCTAACACGGTGAAACCCCGTCTCTACTAAAAAATACAAAAAACTAGCCGGGCGAGGTGGCGGGCGCCTATAGTCCCAGCTACTCGGGAGGCTGAGGCAGGAGAATGGCGTGAACCCGGGAGGCGGAGCTTGCAGTGAGCTGAGATCCGGCCACTGCACTCCAGCCTGGGCGACAGAGCGAGACTCCGTCTCAAAAAAAAAAAAAACTGGTTCCTGAAACCAGACCGCAGCCTTCCCATTTCTTTAGGATAAGTACATGCATATGGTCCCCCAGCAAACTCCCTGCTCCTTGCTGATTTCAGAGGTCACACTGCTCCCAGAGCCCCTTTGGGAAGCCACACCAGAAACCCAATTGGTGGCCCAAGGCCCCCCCCCGCCCCGTCCCACCCCAGCTTTCCCAGGGCCCCATCTATCCCCAAAGACAGGACACCTTTCTGGGGGCCAGCATGGGAAGCACAGACCCATGGCTCCTGAGCCGACTTTCCCATTATTTTTCTCATCCCCCAATTCTCTGACAGGTTACCTGAGAAAAAGACCCAATTCTAGTTAAGCTGGTCCCACCCCTAGGCCAGGAGCAGGTGCTGGACAAAGCTGTGCCTTGAATTCCCTGGGGCTCGTAGCTCCTCTGAAGCCAGCTCTGCCTGGGCCCCCACAGGATGACAAGGAGGTGTGTCTGCCCAGGGCCTGTTCTCCCCTTCCTAGCTATGCTTGGGTAATGGGGGCCCAGGCTTTGTCACCTAAGCAAAGTTCCCAAGCCCATACCCTGTACTTCCAGCTTCTTGCACCATAGAACCAAACAGCAACCACTTGCCTGGGGGTAGAGTCGGGGGCAGCAAGCGACACACATCCATGTCCTGAGCAGGAAGCTCCTGACCTGCTGGGCATGGGTGGAGAAGGAAGAGAAGGTGACAGGGTTGGGTGGCTCTCCCTACATGGTCACATCCTGTGAAGAGGACACCAGGAATTCTAAATTCGAACCTGATGCCCCAGAGCTTTAAGAAAATGTTTTTGTCAAAGGAGAAAACCGAACGTTTTATTAGTTTTTTGAACCGATTTATAGCGTCAAAAGTTAGACGCAGGCGCAGGCCTCCATTCCATCTATTGGCTGGCTCTCGACTGCCGAGACTGGCCTGCCAACCTGTGTTTCAGGAGGGCACGCGTCCGCGGCTGAACCGCGGAAGGGCCGGTGAGGAGCTGGGCCTCGGGAGATGGCCCCGGGGGCCCCCGCGCTGCTGCTGCTGCTGCTGCTACTGCCGCCCCGCACCGTTGGCTGCCCAGCAGCCTGTCGCTGCTACAGCGCCACAGTGGAGTGCGGCGCCCTGCGGTTGCGTGTCGTCCCGCTGGGAATCCCGCCAGGGACGCAGGTGGGCACTGTGTGGAGCTGCGGGAGGACAGGGTGCCCCCAAGGAGAAGACCCCCGCAGCGGGGTAAGCGCCTCCCTTTTCCCCGGCCTGCAGACACTGTTCCTGCAGGACAACAACATCGCGCGCCTGGAGCCAGGAGCCCTGGCGCCGCTCGCCGCTCTGCGGCGGCTCTACCTCCACAACAACAGCCTGCGCGCCCTGGAGGCCGGCGCCTTCCGCGCGCAGCCGCGCCTGCTGGAGCTGGCGCTCACCAGCAACCGGCTGCGCGCCTTGCGCAGCGGCGCCTTCGCAGGCCTGGCCCAGCTGCGCGTGCTCTACCTGGCGGGCAACCAGCTGGCGCGGCTGCTGGATTTCACCTTCTTGCACCTGCCGGTGAGCGCCTGGGGTCTGAAGGGGCGGGAGACTCCATTATGGCCGCTCGCCCTGTAGGGCTGGAGTAGTTAGAAAAGGCAACGTAGTGTAGCTTGGTAAGAAGGGGGGGCATGCCCCCAACCTCGGCGCCCTTTTTCCTCACGATCTGCTGTCCCTACTTCAGCGACTGCAGGAGCTTCACCTGCAAGAAAACAGCATTGAGCTGCTGGAGGACCAGGCTCTAGCGGGGCTGTCCTCCCTAGCACTGCTGGACCTCAGCAGGAACCAGCTGGGTACCATCAGCCGAGAGGCGCTGCAGCCCCTGGCCAGTCTGCAAGTCCTGCGCCTCACAGGTACCTCTTCCTCGGGAAGTGTCTCTGTCTTGGCCAGGTGGTGGCAGTAGGGAACAGGCTCATGTGTGGAGGGGCTTTGATAGCAGACAACTGGGCAGCAGTCTGGAGGGCCGCACCACCGCCTGCAGCCACAGGGGAGGGCTGCGGGAATGGGCGTGTTGGGGGATACAGCTCAGGCACCCTGCCTGAGGAAGACAAGACAGGAACCCCACAGGGTGACTTAACAGAGTTGAGGATTCTGTACACTTTTAGGCCCTCAGAGGGGAGGCAAAAATTGCAAAGGAGACAGCTGATCAGGACTGGGGACATTCCCGAGAGAACATCCAAAGACAAGGCTGAGAGGACTTGTAAGGTTTCAGTGCTGGTGAGATGCCTATGTGGAAGCCCAGGTTCCTAAAAGCAGTGGCACTTGTTGCAGGAAGATTTGAGGAGCAGGTGCTTCCTCTGACGCAGAAGTGATCTGTAACAGGCAGGCATCACAGAGCTGAGGCGGAGGGAGCGGGGCGGGGGTGAAGGGCTGCTGCCGCCCCACGGAGCTTGGGGTGAAGGAAGGGGTGGCAGGGGCCTTGGACTCCGTGTGAAAAGGCTGTGGTAGGTGGGAAAGAGGCCCCTGCCCTGGCCCGCAGAACCCCAACTGCACAGGCTGTGTTGTAGCACCATCCTCAAGCCACCTGCCTGATGCTGCTCTCCCACAGAGAACCCATGGCGCTGTGACTGCGCCCTGCACTGGCTGGGTGCCTGGATCAAGGAGGGCGGCCAGCGGCTGCTCACCTCCAGGGACAGGAAGATTATGTGTGCAGAGCCCCCGCGCCTGGCGCTCCAGAGTCTCCTGGACGTATCCCACAGCAGCCTCATCTGCATTCCGCCCTCTGTCCACGTGCAGCCGCTGGAGCTCACAGCCAACCTGGGTGAGGACCTGCGGGTTGCCTGCCAAGCCTCTGGCTACCCGCAGCCATTGGTGACCTGGAGAAAGGTGCCCCAGCCTCGCGAGGGCCGGCCGCAAGCCCAGGCCCAGCTAGAAGGCGGGGCGCCGGGCCTGGGCGGACACTCGGCATCCGACACGGGCAGCGGCATGCTCTTCCTCAGCAACATCACGCTGGCCCATGCCGGCAAGTACGAGTGCGAGGCCTCCAATGCTGGTGGCGCTGCCCGCGTGCCCTTCCGGCTCCTGGTCAACGCGTCCCGGCAGCCGCTGCAGCAGCCCGCGCAACCGCCACCTCCGGCCGCCCGCCCCGCTGGTCGCGAGCCCCGGCCCGAGGCGGGAAGCATGGCCTTCCGCGCCCTGGGCCTGGCCACGCAGACGGCCATTGCGGCGGCCATCGCGCTGCTGGCGCTCACGGCGCTGCTCCTGGTCGCCATGATCTGTCGCCGGCGCCGCAGGCGAAAAAAGGCGCGGGGGCCACCGGGGGAGGGCGCGCTGTTCGTCAACGACTACTCGGACGGCCCCTGCACGTTCGCACAGCTAGAGGAGCTCCGCGACGAGCGCGGACACGAGATGTTCGTCATCAACCGCTCCAAGCCGCTCTTCGCCGAGGGTCCGGCGGAGGCGCCGGCGGACTGCGGACCAGCAGAGGGGGCGGGGCCGGGACTCCGCGTGCCCCCGCCAGTCGCCTACGAGATCCATTGCTAGGGCGGCGGGCGCGGGCAGATGACGTGGGCGCCGGGGACTGGCCGGCGCGGCCGCGCACATGCTCCGTCAGTAAAGGTGGAAGCCGCGCAGAGTGCGGTGAGCCGTCTGTGGGACGCGCAGCGGGAGCGTTGCACTCGGGAATCCTGGGGTAGCAATGGAAGGTGGCCAGGGAGGCCCCAACACCTCCCTTGAAGTTTTTCCAAAAAGACATCACCCCAACCTCCAGCTCTGCAGGGGGGTCCCTCGCTGGCCCTGGCCGGCCACGGTAGGATCTTGGGCCTCCGAAAGGTGGGAAGAGCAAGGACTGGCCGGCAGTGCAGACGGGGCCGCCCTGCGGGCAGGCTGGATGGCAGTTGTTGCCCAGTGGCCATATTGGGGATGGTGACAGCAGAGATAAGGATAAGGCTGACCAATGTGGACAGAAAAAAAAAGAGCCATAAATTCAATTTCCAGGCACATTTGTACCTTGATGACCCCCTCCAGCCCGAGCCCAGCCCAGTGGGGTGGCTGGGTGGCAGGGCAGGGAACACGTTAAGAGGCACGAGTGCCTGGGGACCCCAGCCTCCCTGAAGCAGCCTCTGTCCAACTTCAACCCCAGAGCACTGAGCTCTCAGTAAAGGGATGGGAAAGGCTCAGAGAGGCCATCATCTCTCTCAACTCACAAGTGGGATCCCAAAGCATTTGCACAAAGGACCAGGACCCCAGAGGGCAGCCAAATGCAGCCAAACTGAGCAGGGCAATGGAAGCCTGACATCCAGCCCTGGGGCCCACAGATGGTCACCAATCATGGAGCAAGTGCAGGGAAAACCGCGTGGGGCACTGCAGAAAGCAGGGGAGGCTCGAGGTGTGCCCAGAAGCAAGGCGGACCCAGCAGGAAACCAGAAACCAGTGCTTTTGTGACAGGCCTCCACCAGGGTCCCAGCAAAGGCCCTGCCTACCTAAAGAGACTGCAGGACAGCCTGTGTCTCACCCAGAACTACTTCATCATAGGCTGAAGTAGTCTGCAGCCAGTCGCCCATAGATGTCCGTGGTCCAGAGCACATGGGCACGGCCTGAGGCTAAAAGCAGCTGATGCAACTCTGCTTCTACGCGGGCAAACTTCTCCTCATTGATGGAGGCCTCCAGCAGGACAGAGGCAGGCGGCGGCCAGGGCAAGCCCTCATAGCAGTCCACAGGGAAGGGGTGCACCACAGTACGCAGCTCAGCCTGCGCCACTGAGTCCCGCAACAGCTCCTTGAGGCCCGCCATGGACAGTGGGTTGCCATAGAGGCCAAGGTACCGGAGACTGGTGCACCGAGTCAGGATGGGTAGTGTGGCCAACAGCTGGGTGTCTGCAAGCTGGCACTCAGTCAGCTCCAGATGCAGCAGTGTGGCTGCTGATGCCTGCAGCAGACCCTGGAATGGTGCCAGCTGGCTGCCAGACAGGTCGTTACCACTCAGGTCCAACTTCTTGAGGTGGGCAGCATGGGGGCTCTGTGCCAGGAAGCGCAGGTCCTCAGGCAACAGAGCACAGAAGGCCAACTCCAGGCTCTCCAGGGGGCTCTGCAGGGTGCTACAGGGGACACAGGGGTCACAGACAGGCAGAGCCAGGGAGGGTCCCTACAGAAGGGAGGGGCAGGGCAGTGGTGGGGCCCGCTCACCTGAGCAGCTGGTCCAGCCTCCCTGAAAGGAGAGAGGAGCCCATGCTGAGCTCGCGCAGACAGGTGAAGCGGCCCATCTGGGCAAGGAAGTAGCGGAAGTTGTCCTCGCCATCCACGGAGGGCTGCCTTGAATCCCCATGCACATAGTGGAGCCGCAGGCTGGCCAGGTGCTGGAAGCGAGCCACGTGTGGGATGATTACAGACAGGCCACGCAGGCCCAGGTTGTTGAAGCGCAGGTCCACGCGGCGCAGGCAGCCTGCATCCAGAAGCTGCAGCAGGGCCACAGTGTTGCGCATGGGCAGGTCCTCAGCTCGCAGGTCCCGGCAGCAGAGCCGCAGTGGGCTGCCCACGCTGCTTCGGAGTGCCTCCCGCAGGAAGGCATAGGAGGCCCGGTTCACCCGCAGGTCCACACGCACCTCCACGGGGATGGGGGCTGGCCCAGGCTCTGTGGCGCCCCCCTGCTGCTGGGCGATGCATGTGCGAGCCACGGCAGCAGTACAGTCCCACATGCTCATGGTGCCAGGATCCTGTTCCACACCATCATCCAAGAGGCCTGTCATGTCCAGCACCCGCAGCGCATGCTTCCTGGGAGTAGGAATGATCTGAGGAAGGGGTCGAGGGGCAGGGCCCATACCCCCTCCCAGCCAGCTTGGGACAAGAGCAACACACCTGCTCCTGTATGAGCTCTTGCTAACTTTACCACCCAAGCCTAGAACCTTCTCAGGGGACCCACTTACACACCCCTAGCCTGACAACCCTTCAGATAAGTCCATACCTGCAGAGGGGCTGTGTGCTGGCCCCAGACTCTGGGGTGTGGAGCCGGGCAGTCAGCCCCAGGATAACGGCCTGCATGCTCTCAGTGCTAGGCCGCTCCTGCAGGAGGGCACGGCTGCAGTGGGCACACTCCTGTAGCAGCTGCTGGAAACTGAGCAGCGGGAAGGGCCATGTGTGTACCAACTCGCGCAGTACCACTGTCTTCTTGTCCATGAAGGCCACCTTGAACAGCAGGGGGAAGAGTTCGCGTGGCAGCAGGGGCAGGGCCTGGCAGGCAGCTGGCTGGCACTGCAGCACCTGCCGCGTGCTCAAGAACACAAGCGTGTGCATGGCGCTGGGCCGGGCAGACGGCCACCTGCAGGAGAGGGACTTCAGCAGGGAGGAGAGACCCTAGGCCACTACCAAGCCACACACAGGTGGTAGGAAGGCCCAGCATAGCGCCTGAAACAAAGTCAGCAGTTAACAGAGGCCACGGCACAGACAAGCACCTATTAGATGCCTAGCGCTGGGCTAGGTGCAGTGAACTGGCAGACAAGGTCACAACTCAGCCCCAGCCCTCCAGAGGCACAGGACTCTTTAGGAAAACCAAGTGTCAAGCAGTGTGACGTCGTCGACAACTCGCTTGCTTGGGTGTGCTTTTGACAGATGCCTGTTGCCTTGCAGGGCCCCCCATGGGTACTTCAGGCCTCCCAAATTACAAAGCTGCTTCACAAAACCTTCTTCGAAACCTGAATAAAGTCCAGGCCTCTCCCCACCAACCTTCATCAGCATTAACGTTGACGGGACACTCCAAGGAGTCAAGCAGCCAAATCACGTTTCCCTCCCCTCTCCTCACAGAGGCTCTCCAGAGCTACCCTGGGACTCCACAAAACAACAAAGAGCTGGAAGCACAGATGCAGCTTCATAAGCAACAGGGCAGGTTGAAAAGACCGAGACCTAGGGAATACTGAGTCCAGATGATGTAGCCTATGAAATCCAAGCCTTCAATATAAGCCCCCCCAAAAAAAACTATTCTCCAGAGTGTCACCAAGCACGAAGACCCCTGAAAGAAAGCAACCTTCACCTTTGGTGGCTCTTACCAGTGGCCTAAAACCTCTCCCTCTTCCCTGGAGAGCCACTGTGGAAAGAACAAGTCTTAAGTATGTGGGATTCGGAAGGTGCAAGGCTACAGATTGCTCAGACAAGGCAAAGAAAGCTGCCTAAGCAGCACTCAAGCTGCAGAGATGCGCGCGAACACTCCCAAGGCCACAAGGTACCTGTGACACAGGGTGCCAGCCCTGCTGCTGACTGCAGCATCCTCAAAACTAAATCGCAGCCATCTCCCTGTGACAGATTAGAAAATGAAGGCCTAGGCCTGGCCCAAGGTCACAGCCTGAGTGACAAGTCAGGGAAGGGGTCTAGGGAGGACACTCTGGCCCCAGGGCCCTTGTTTTTGCACATACAAATAAGTCCTTAAAGAACCGCTTCCTGAAAAGTCCCAGACACCAACCCTCGGTCTCATTCTGAGATCTCAACGGTCATACCTCGCTCTGACAGGACAGACCAACCGAGCACCTGTCACGGGAGTACACGAAAGCAGACGGCCTGGCCACCAAGGGAGGCAGGCACCTCCGTGCGAGGCCCCCGCCCCTCCCGCCGGCCACGGGGAACGCGTCGGCCCTCGGCTGCCTGCGTTTCGAAAAGACGCCCCCGCCCGGCTCCTCTGGGCCTCGAGTCGCGGGAGGCGCTGGTCCCTCCGCTCTTTCTTGTCCCGGGCGGGGCCTGCTCCTCCAAGCCAGGTGCGTCTCCCACCAGGGCCTGACGCCGCTCCGACCGGCCGGGGGACTCCCAGTCCTTCCCGGCCCGCTATGGCACCGCCCGGGCTCCCGGCTTCGGCCCCGGGCTCCCAAATGCAGCTACTGCCTCCCTCAGCCGGGCCGCCCCGAGCGACCGCTGCCACGCCCCTTGCGGCCAGGCAGGGCCAGGGACGTACGCCGCCCCACTCCGACCCCCGCCTGGCCGCCCGCGCTCACCGGTCCCGCAGCCGCAGCCACCGCCTCCGGCCCCGCCTAGACCGTCCGCCGCGCCCCGCACGGCGCCGCGGCGCCCCGCGATGACGTCGGCGCCCCCCATTGGTTGCTTGTCCAGGGCCCGGCGGATTGGCTGCCTAGTCGCGGTGGCCCCGCCCCCGGCCCGCCGCGCGCCCGCATTGGCTGTTGGCCCCATCGTCTGCGGCGCGGGAGATTCGCTGGGCGGCCGCTGGACTGCTCGGAGACCTGGCGGGCCAGCCATGGAGCGGCTGCGGGATGTGCGCGAGCGGCTGCAAGCGTGGGAACGCGCGTTCCGGCGGGAGCGCGGGCGGCGGCCGAGCCAGGTACGGGATGCCCTGGGGCCGAGGGGCTGAGGGCGCGGCCCGCGGCTGACGCGTTCCCTTTACAGGATGACGTGGAGGCGGCGCCGCAGGAGACCCGCGGTGAGCGCGCGGCGGGGTGGCGGGGTCCCGGGTCGACGGAGGCGGGAGGACGCCAGGTCGGCGGGGGCCCAGGCTCCACCCTGACCCCGCCTCCCGCCCGCCCACGCAGCGCTCTACCGGGAGTATCGTACTCTCAAGCGGACCGTGGGCCAGGCCGGCGGCGGGCCCCGCAGCTCCGAGTTGCTCCCCGTGGCCGTCGAAGAGGTATCCAGGCCCCGCCACCCCAGCCTCCTCCCACTTTCCTGTTTGGCGGAGTGGCGGGAGCCACGGAGTCGCGGCCAGGCCTCCGTGGGGCACAGAACTTGGGAGGGGGACTGAGCAAAGTGAAGACGGGCCGGGCCTCGCTCCAGGTGTGAGGGGGTGGGTGGGAGCGCCTCTGCTTCCACACCAGCCTTTTTCTGGCCTGCGCCCCTACTGTCTCCTGCAGGCACCAGAGTCCCACTGCTGGGGGCCCCACCTGAATCGGGCTGCAACCCACAGTCCACAACATACGCCAGGGCGGAGCTGCCAGGGGTCGGTGCCGGACTACGGGCAGCGGCTCAAGGCCAACCTGAAAGGCACCCTGCAGGTGAGGAGTTAGCAAGCAGTGAGTCCACACTAGGTCCAGAGGTGCTTCTGGCCCGGGGTTCTTTCTTGTCACTCTTTCCACACAGACAGGCACAGGCTCCTGTGCCAACCAGGGCACGAGTCTCCACGGAGTTTCTCGGGGCCTTCGCCCTTGACTCCCTTTCTAGGCCAGCCTTGTGCTAATTAGCCTGTCTTACCATTGAAGGTGGGAACTCAGGCAGGTTTCAGAGTCTACAGAAGCCCAGGGGCCTGAGTTTCTGCTGCCATTCTGTTCCCTTCCCAGGCCGGACCAGCCCTAGGCCGCAGACCCTGGCCTCTAGGAAGATCCTCATCCAAGACGCCCACCCCAAATCCCCCAGGCACAAGGCCTGTCCCCACCTTTGCAGAAAAAGTCAGTGATGAGCCTCCACAGCCCCCTGGGCCCCAGCCAAGGCCGGGCCAGCTGCAGCACCTGCAGGCATGCCTGAGCCAGCAGCTGGCCTCCCTAGATCTTGACTGGTTACAGCGATGTCACAGTGAGATCCCAGACTTTCTGGGGGCCCCCAAAGCCTGCAGGCCTGGCCTAGGCTCAGAGGAATCACAGCTTCTGATCCCGGGTGAGTCAGCTGTCCTTGGTCCTGGTGCTGGCTCCCCAGACCCAGAGGCTTCAGCCCTCCAAGAAGTCAGCATCCGTGCAGGGAGCCCCCAGCCCAGCAGCAGTCGAGGCAAGAAGCAGAGACGGAACAAGGAGCTCTGGGGGAGCCCCGCACAGGTCCAGCAGCAGAGCAGCCAGGCTGGACCCCCATCGGAGGGGGCTGGGGCTGTCGCACTTGAGGAAGACCCTCCAGGGGAACCTGTACAGGCACAGCCACCTCAGCCCTGCAGCAGTTTGTCGACCCCCAGGTACCACAGATTCAGCACCTCCAGTCAAGCTAGGGCGGGTAAGGCTGAGGGCACAGCCCATCTGCACATCTCTAGGCTGGCCCGCCATGACAGGGGCAATTACGTACGGCTCAACATGAAGCAGAAACGCTACGTGCAGGGCCGGGCACTCCGTGGCAGGCTCCTCCGCAAGCAGGTGAGACGGCGATGGACTGGGACAGGCCCTCCCTTTCCCTCCCCTCAGCACCCCTGCATGTCCCACCCAGTGACCCTCCTATGTGGGCACCCTTCAGGCATGGAAGCAGAAGTGGCGGAAGAAAGGGGAGTGTTTTGGGGGTGGTGGTGCCACAGTCACGATCAAGGAGTCTTGTTTCCTGAATGAACAGTTTGATCACTGGGCACCCCAGTGTCCTCAGCCAGGTGAGACATCTGCCCTGGAGGGTGGGTCTGGCCACCACTGTGGAGAGGGCACGGTACTCTTTTGGGCGACACTTCTGTTCCAAGCAAAAGACCTTCCAGGTGCCCCTGGTCCAGGCCCTACCCTGGCTCCCCCAAAGCAGGGTGGCAAGGATGAGGATGGGTGTCAACCTTTTATGCTTTAGAAGAAGTAGCACAGAAGAAGGGCACTGCCTGCTGCCAACCCCTTTGGGGGAAGAGAAGGTTGTGGCCAATGGTTGTTTTGCTTGGAGCTCCCATTCCACCTTCTCTTGCCTGCCCCAGTAAGTGAGGAAGACACAGACCCTGCTGGCCCTGAGCCGCTGGTTCCTGCACCACAACCTGTGCCTGGGGTGCCCGGCCTGGCCTCCACCATGCTGCCACTCTACTCCTTGGGGCCCTCAGGGCAGCTGGCAGGTAAGCAGTCAGCTGCTGGCCCAGAGCCTTTACCGAGGGGTTGGTGTGACTTAAGTCATGGTGGTCAACACCTGTGTCTGCAGAGACGCCGGCTGAGGTGTTCCAGGCCCTGGAGCAGCTGGGACACCAAGCCTTCCGTCCTGGGCAGGAGCGTGCAGTCATGCGGATCCTGTCTGGTGAGCGTGGCTGCCGGGGCTGAGGCCGGGCTGAGGCCAGGCTGCAGAACCCCACTGCTGACTCGCGCCCCACACAGGCATCTCCACGCTGCTGGTGCTGCCTACAGGTGCCGGCAAGTCCCTGTGCTACCAGCTCCCGGCGCTGCTCTATGCCCGGCGCAGCCCCTGCCTCACGTTGGTCATCTCTCCCCTGCTGTCACTCATGGACGACCAGGTGTGCACACAGGGCCCTGGGCACATGTACACAGCCAAGAACCAGCACTTGTGACTCCCAAGGGCAACTGCTGCTTCTCCCCTAACCGCCCCCTCCCATGGGAGCTTCAAGGTGTCTGTGGCCTCAGTCCCAGTCCTGGCAGTAGGTCAAAGGCAGCCCAGCTCCACAGGCACCACGGCCACCCCTACAGGAGCTGTGCTGGGAAGGGAGCCCTCCCCAGAGTCTGTCTGCTCCAGGGCTCCTGGGCCAAGGCCCACAGGTGGCTCTAAACCCTTGGCCCTAGGACCCAGGACCTGGTTCTCCTCTCCCCTGAGGGCCTAGGATGGACATGGCAGCAGCTCTGGGATGACCTGGGGAAGGGCCAGGGCCGGGCTGGCCTATGATGGCCGTTGCTCCTGCATTTGCAGGTGTCTGGCCTGCCACCGTGTCTCAAGGCAGCTTGCATACACTCGGGCATGACCAGGAAGCAACGGGAGTCTGTCCTGCAGAAGGTGGGGGCCTCATGGGCCTAGGGGTGAGGGAGGCAGTGCCTGGGCTGTGCCTCTGATCTTGCTGCCTTCAGGTTCGGGCAGCCCAGGTACACGTGCTGATGCTGACACCCGAGGCACTGGTGGGGGCAGGAGGCCTCTCTCCAGCCACGCAGCTGCCTCCAGTTGCTTTTGCCTGCATTGATGAGGTCCACTGCCTCTCCCAGTGGTCCCACAACTTCCGGCCCTGCTACCTGCGCGTCTGCAGGGTGAGCCATATGTGAACTGGGGTGGGCGGCTAGGGCCAGGATGGGCTGGATGGCCTCACGCCACCACCGCCTCTGGTGCAGGTGCTTCGGGAGCGCATGGGCGTGCACTGCTTCCTGGGTCTCACAGCCACAGCCACACGCCGCACTGCCAGTGACGTGGCACAGCACCTGGCTGTGAATGAAGAGCCTGGCCTCCATGGGCCAGCCCCAGTTCCCGCCAACCTGCACCTTTCCGTGTCCATGGACAGGGACACAGACCAGGTGGGAGTGTGAGCTCTGGGGACCCTGCAGGGCCCTGGCTCCCGACTGCCCACGCTGACGGCTCCTCACCCCCCACGGCCCACGCCAACCTCTCCTCACCCCCCACGGCCCACGCCGACCTCTCCTCACCACCCACGGCCCACACCGACCTCTCCTCACCCCCCACGGCCCACGCCGACTCTCCTCACCCCCCGGCCCACACCATCTCCCTCCCCCACGGCCCACACCGACTCTCCTCACCCCCACGGCCCACGCCGACCTCTCCTCACCCCCACGGCCCACACCGATCTCTCCCCCCCCCCCCCCGCCCCCCCCCCCCCCCCCACCGCTCTCCTCACCCACCACGGCCCACACCGATCTCTCCTCACCCCCCACGGCCCACACCGACTCTCCTCACCCCCCACGGCCCACACCAACTCTCCTCACCCCCCACGGCCCATGCTCACCCCTCACTGCCCATGCCGACCACTCCTTGTCAGGCACTGTTGACACTGCTGCAAGGCAAACGTTTTCGAAACCTGGATTCCATTATAATTTACTGCAACCGGCGCGAAGACACGGAGCGGATCGCTGCGCTTCTCCGAACCTGCCTGCATGCAGCCCAGGGCCCAGGGCCTGGAGGTGAGGCACAGACAGGGCTGGGGTCCCGGTGAACCCACCTTGGGCACACATGGCCCCTCCCACTGATTATCTGCCTGTCTTCCCCAAAGGTCGTGCCCCCAAAACCACGGCCGAGGCCTACCACGCGGGCATGTGCGGCCGGGAACGGCAGCGGGTACAGCGGGCCTTCATGCAGGGCCAGTTGCGGGTGGTTGTGGCCACGGTGGCCTTCGGGATGGGGCTGGACCGGCCAGATGTGCGGGCTGTGCTGCATCTGGGGCTGCCCCCAAGCTTCGAGAGCTACGTGCAGGCTGTGGGCCGGGCCGGGCGTGATGGGCAGCCTGCCCACTGCCACCTCTTCCTGCAGCCCCAGGTTGGCACCCCCCCAACTGCCAGTGCTCAAGCCCCCAGTGCCCCACCCCACCCTCATGATAGTCGTCCCGCAGGGCGAAGACCTGCGAGAGCTCCGCAGACATGTGCACGCCAACGGCACAGACTTCCTGGCCGTGAAGAGGCTGGTGCAGCGCGTGTTCCCAGCCTGCACCTGCACCAGGCCGTCCCCAGAGCAGGAAGGGACCATGGGTGGAGAAAAACCTGTGCCCAAGTATTCCTCTCAAGAGGCTGAGCAGCCTGGTGTCCACCAGGCAGCCCTAGGACCCAGAAGGACCTGTGTGGGCCATGAGCAGGCACTCCCAGTACAGCTTACCGTGCAGGCTCTGGACATGCCAGAGGAGGGTGAGGAACCTGGGGGTAAGCCATGGGTGTGGATGGGCTGTGCCCACATCCCCTGAACCCTGCTCTGCCCACAGCCATCGAGACTTTGCTGTGCTACCTGGAGCTGCACCCACGCCACTGGCTGGAGCTGTTGGCAACCACCTATATCCATTGCCGTCTGAGCTGCCCTGGGGGCCCTGCCCAGCTCCAGGCCCTGGCCCACAGGTGAGCACGCCCTGCCCTGAGTTGGAGACAAGGTTGGAGAATCAGGGCTGCTGGCCACATGTTTCCTTTTCCCTGGGCACAGGTGTCCCCCTTTGGCTGTGTGCTTGGCCCAGCGGCTGCCTGAGGACCCAGGGCAAGGCAGCAGCTCTGTGGAGTTTGATATGGTCAAGCTGGTGGACTCCATGGGCTGGGAGCTGGCCTCTGTACGGCGGGCTCTCTGCCAGCTGCAGTGGGACCATGAACCCAGTACAGGTGCGCCCCGCCCCACCCCACCCAGCCCTGGATGCTGCCTGCCTGCATCTGACATGCTTTCCGGCAGGTGTGCGGCGCAGGACAGGGGTGCTTGTGGAGTTCAGGGAGCTGGCCTTCCACCTTCGCAGCCCAGGAGACCTGACCGCTGAGGAGAAGGACCAGATCTGTGACTTCCTCTATGGCCGTGTGCGGGCCCGGGAGCGCCAGGCCCTGGCCCGTCTGCGCAGAACCTTTCAGGCCTTTCACAGGTTGGGAGGAGGCGGGCAGGGCCTGGGACCATCCACCCTCCTGCAGTGATCAGCTCTGACGGGCTCCTCCCCACAGCATAGCCTTCCCCAGCTGTGGGCCCTGCCTGGAGCAGCAGGATGAGGAGCGCAGCACCAGGCTCAAGGACCTGCTCGGCCGCTACTTTGAGGAAGTGGAAGAGGAAGCACAGGGGCCGGGAGACATGGAGGACACGCAGGGCCCTGAGCCAGGGCAGGCCAGAGTGAGTACAGTAAGGCCAGGAAGCTCATCAGGGTTGCACGTTCCTTGGGCTGCATGGGGCTTGCTGTGTGGATGCAGTGCCACGGTAGCTCAGAGCAAGCCTGATGTGCCTGTCCACACAGCTCCAGGATTGGGAGGACCAGGTCCGCTGCGACATCCGCCAGTTTCTGTCCCTGAGGCCAAAGGAGAAGTTCTCGGGCAGGGCTGTGGCCCGCATCTTCCATGGCATCGGTGAGGCCTACAAGGCTCCACCCAATGCAGGCTGGAGCTGGGGCTGGGGCAGGTGAGGCCTGGGACGCCTCCCATGCAGGCTGGGGCTGGGGCTCATGGCTGTGTCTTGACTCCACCGTAGGAAGCCCCTGCTACCCAGCCCAGGTGTACGGGCAGGACCGGCGCTTCTGGAGAAAATACCTGAATCTGAGCTTCCACGCCCTGGTGCGCCTGGCCACAGAAGAGCTCCTGCGGGTGGCCTGCTGATTGCACTGCGTTGGGGGATGTTGGGTAGAGCTGGGGTTGTCAGCAGCTAGGGCAGTGACTGAGGCCCTGGGCAAAACCTGTTACCGGGTGTGAGGACGAGGAGACTCCAAAATGCAGAATATAAAGTGCTCACATTGTTTTTATGGGCCCTCCTGGCCAATGAGGCAGCCCCCACAACCTGGGGACAAGCGCATCACATATTCTAGGCACACGTGGCTTTATTGACCAGTCCAGCCACCCAGCTCAGAGAAAGGTGCTGGGTGCCAGGCCCAGGTACAGAACGGGCAAGGCAGAGAGGATGAGCAGGAGGAAGAAGCAGGTATGTGGCCCCAGCCCGTCGGCCAGGCCTCCAGCCAGAGCGCCCAGCAGCAGCTTCCCCAGTAGTTCCAGAGTGGCCAGAAGGCTGTAGTGTGTGGCCTGAGGGGGTGGGGGTCAGGATCAGAGTAAGGCCCACACAGCCCCAGCCCTGCAGTCCCTCTGTGTCCCTGCAATGTGTCCTCACCTGCAGGGCCCTGGGGGCCAGCTGGCTGCAACGCATCATCCCAGTGAAGGTGACTGTGGTGACCAGGCCTCCCAAGAAGTGCTGCAGACATAGGCTCAGCAAGGCTGACCCTGGGAGGGCAGAGGTCAGCAGTGCCCCAGGCTCCTGGCCCCTTTTCCTCCCTCCTCAAAGCCAGCCTCTCACCTCTCAAGATTGTGCCAGGGCCCATGCTGGCCCCCAGGGTGTCCAGGTGGAAGACCAAGGCAGTCTGGCAGGCTAGGCCCCCGAAGCGGAGCCGCAGCACTGACCTCAACAGAGGCAGCAGTTCCCTGGGGTGGGGGTGGGAAATTGGGCAGTATAGGAATTGGGGGCAGCTTGGGTACAAGTGGGTGGGCAGGGCACACTGGGGAGGGCTCACCAGTGCTTGGCCAGCAAGGTCCCACCCAGGGAGGAGCCAGCGATGGAGCAGACCACAGCACCCACACCATTCCACAGTCCCAGCTCAGGGGCAGAAACACCATGGTCCAGCAGGAGAAGAGGAAACAGGCTGCTGGCGCCCTGCTCACCTTGGGTTGTGGAGAGGGGGTATGAGCACAAGAGGTTCCATATCTGCCCCCACCTCCCTTCTCCCCACCTGGGGCCTCAGTCCTGCCCTGCTCTCCTCAGTGTTCCAGAGTTGCAGGTGCTGGGGGGAGAAGTGGGGCAGCCCAAGAGAGCTCAGGGATGTGGCTAGAGCTGGGGGAGGACAAGACAGCAAGGTCCAGCTGCAGAGCCCCGGATGTCGGGGCCAAGTCCTGCAGGTCATACCCAAAAAGAGAGTGGCCCTGTAATGGGTTGCAAGCACTGGGGACACACTTGGAGCTGTCCCGGAAGCCCCACCTCTGCTGTTGCCTGCGCCTCGAGGCCTCACTCACCTAGCTTGTAGGTGAGCACAAAGCCTGCCGTCCACAGGGTCCCCGGCACAGCCAGCACGTCCCGCAGGAGGTGCGCGGTGTGGGGACGCTGCTTGGACGGGGCCGGCTGTGGGAGCCGCCGCAGGGCTGGTGCAGCCCAGGCCAGGGCCGCGGCCAGCCAGTAGGTGGCAGCCAGGAGCAGAAAGAGTTGCGGCCACGAGAGAGTGGGCTGCAGCGCCAGCAGCGCGCCTCCGGCTAGCGCGGCCCCCAGCTTGTAGGCGACCACCTGCACGGTGTTGCCCGGCCCCAGCTCGGCCGGCTCCAGCAGCTGCACAGCCAGCGCGTCCAGGGCCACATCCTGCACAGCGGCACCCAGGTTCAGCAACAGCAGCAACCCCGCCACTGCGGCGGGCAGCCCGGCCTGGCCAGCTCCAGGCGGGGGCAGCCCGGCAAGGAGCCCACACACCAGGCCCAAGCCTGCCGTGCTGCGCGTCAGCCAGGCCCTCACCGAGCCCTGCGCGTCCACCAGCGGGGCCCACGCCAGCTTGAGCAGCCACGGAGTGTAGAGAACCTTGGCCAGCCCCACGCGCGTCAGGGAGAGGCCGCCGGCGCGCAGCAGCACGGGCAGGAGGCCGGACTGGAGCCCGTAGGGCAGGCCCTGCACCAGGTAGAGGCCGGCCAGCGGCAGCAACTTCCCATGCATGGCGGCTCCGATCGACTGCGAGGCCGGGAGGTCGGGTTCCAGGTGGGGTCCCGCAAAGCGAGGTCCTCTCCGCGTTGGGTCAGAGGCCACACCCCAGCATGGCTTTGGTTCTGGGACCGGGCGGAGTCAGCGTCGTACAGGCTGGGGTCTGCACACGTGCGATTGGACTTCAGGAGCATTAACACCCCAGAAGGACCGAAATCGGGTCCAAACAGAGGCGAGCGGTCTGGACACGAGCTCCCGGCATGCTCTGCGCGGCCTCAGGAAAGGGGGCGGGGTCACTGCCTCCCGCGGCTCCCAGCATGCTCTGCGAGACCGCAGGTAAGGGGGCGGGATCACTCTCCCCCGCCCCCCGCGGCTCCCATCATGCTCTGCGCGGTTGCAGGTAAACGGGGCTGGGCCGCTGCCTCCCGGGGCCCTCACCGTCGGCCGGGCCGGACTCTCAGCAGTTTCTCGGCCGCCTAGAGCCACACAGCGGAGACGGGCCACACGGTGTCGCTGGAGCCCCGCGGCCACCGACTCCAGGGCCGGAAGGTCGCGCGAGCCACAGAGACCGGAGCGGGCCAGAGCGTCAGCTCGCTGGCGCCCCCGGTGACCAGTCCGGGCTAGTGCCCGCGGCCGCCCCGCCACGTGCGCGCTCCCAGCGAAGTCCTGCGCTGGTGAGAGGCCCGGAAAGGGAAGCTACAGAGCAGGGCCGGCCTCGAATGTAAGGATCGGCCTGCGCCCACGGCCAGCCCTAGTCTCTCCCAGGAGTCTCGGATCCGCGCCAGGCCTGCTTCCTTCCTGGTGTCTGACCTGCAGCCTGGTTGCTGCGGTGCCCGGCCCCCGCTTCTCCAGCCGCCCCCGTGAAGGCGTCCGTTTCTTAAGGGTTCTGTCGTCGGACCCCAACCTTGCTGTGTCTGGCTTCAGCCCCTCCCTAAGGCAGTGACAGACCCATGGAAGTTAGGAGGGTAGTGTGAAAGGTCAGAACCCAGCTTAGCTCAGAAGGGCACGGCCTGCCACTGCCCTTGATGCCCTTCAGTGTCCGGTGACAAGGCTAGGAGCGCCCTGCCTGATTCGAGCCCGCCCTGCCGAGGGAGGGGCCCACCTGCTGTGTCTCCTGTCCGGAGCTGTGACCTCAGGGGCTCCTGAGGCCCAGATGAGGCTGTGAAGTGTGGCTTGTGGTTAAGAACCATCTCCGGAGCGAACAAAACCAGATGCCTTGGCAGTCCGATTTCCAAGTCTGCGAGTCTCTAAAGCCAGTCCCGTCCTTGGCGGACTTGAGGGCACTGGACCCAATGCACTTCCCTGGCTGCTGTGGCCTCTGAGGGGCTTGTCAGCTCAGCAGGTTTTTGTTTCCAGGTTTCCTTGTCTATCAAATGGGGGTTATCATGCCTAGTTCAGAAGACCATCTGGGCAGATGGAGTGACCCGCAGCAGTGTCTGCATGTAGTAGGTGCTCAGCCATGCTCCCCAGGCCAGGACACATCACTGTCCACCCCCCTCAGCCCAGCCCCAGCCCTCCCCTGGGACACTCCCTCATCCTCTCCCTCTGCCTCCCACTCCACCCAGCTGAAGGACTGCACCACACACACCAAAGGTGGTCTCTCTGGCCCCCCAGACAGTGGCCCCACCCCTACTACCTCGGGTAAGAGAACCAAGACTTCCTCCATGTCAGTCACTCCGACCAGCCAGCGCCATGCTGGTTTAGTATTTCTCCATGCCCCAGGGAAGATGTGGACCTCACAGGGAAGACCTGGACCTCACAGGAAAGACGTGGACCTCACAGGGAAGACGTGGACCTCACAGGGAAGGGAGCCAGGAAGGAGACAGCTTTCTGTGCCTTCTTCAGGAAAGGTTGTTTCTTTGGGTGGCCAACTGGGCCCCTGGTTCCCTAGATTCTTTGTCAAGCCCTATCTCCACCCCAACAGCTCTGGGGGCTTCCACAAAGGGGTGTGGGCCTGTGCTTTCCTCACACTCCGGACTCTCAGCCCATTTCTGTGTGATCGTGACGGGCTCTGCCCCACAGCAAGAGGCCACGGGGAAGGCCCAGCCCATAGTGGGCGCCGGGTCTTCAGGAGGAACAAGTGGGTGCTGGTCGTGGAAGGCCCTTTCTCTGAAGGGACTCAGGCTTGCAAGAAGGGTAGGCAAGTGGGAGCAGACCACGCAGCTGCCAGCGCTTCCTCCCTGGAGTCAGACTGCCACACAGCTTTATTAGGGACCTGCAGAGAGGCAGGGGCCCAGCCCCCACCCCCGCCCGCCAGGCAGCAAGAGCAAGTACAGTGGGCTCCAGAGCCCCCAGGGCCCCTGAGCACACAGTCCGGGGGGCCCAGCCTGGTGCCGGCTGGGCTCAGGAGTACTCGAGGGTGAATTTGGCATGAAATCTGCTCAGCTTCTCCAGCAGCAGCCGCAGTTTCTCCAAGGGGGGCAGAATGGTCATCCTGAAAGGAGTTGACAGTGAGTGAAGGGCCAGGGTGGCGGGACAGGCAGTGAGGGCCGGGCCTCACCGGAAGTGGTAGGTGCCTTCCCGCTGCCCAAAGCCGCTCCCAGGCACCACGCAGATGCCGGTCTCCTCCAGGAGGCGCAGGCAGAAGAACATGTCGGGGGCCAGGCCCAGCTCCTGTGAACAGGCAGTCATCAGGGAGAGATGCCTGGCCACCACTGCCCACCCTGCAGCCCCGCCCCCCCGCCTGACCTGAGCACGCTCCACCGCCCGCGGGGGCAGCTGCACACGCGGGAAGGAGTACATGGCGCCCTGCACTGGGTTGCAGCTGATGCCGGGAGCCTCGTTGAAGACCTGCTCGGTGAGCTTGGCTTTGGCCGCCAGCTCCGCCAGCACTGCCTGCCTCTCCTGTGGCCACGGAGGGAGGGAGGGAGGGCCCATGAGGGCACAGCACTCAGCATCCCCCACCCCCGATTAGGTCACCTGGACCCCCTCCTGCCCCCAACTTACAGCCTGGAACTGCGCGAAGGAGGGGTCAGTGGGCGCGGGCGGGCTGACCACCAGGTCCAGCAGGGCCTGGCCTGGCACCGGCGGGCACAGCCGCACACTCATCAGCTTCAGCATCTGCTGCTGCACTGCAGCGTCCATGTTCACCACCTCCACATAGCCGCCGCGGAACCCGCACCTGCCAGGTGAGGGGCGCGTCCAGGCCAGGTGCAGAGGAGTTGGCCCACTGGGCGAGGAGGGCCAGGCCATAGCCCGCGAGCCCCCACCCGCCTCGCCTGCACGCACTCGCCCATGTAGCCCTTGGAGGTGGAGTGGAAGGAGGCGAGCTCCTGCTGCCCGGCATAGGGCGGCCCCATCTCCATGAGCACCTTCTTGAATGAGTGGAACTGGGAGCCCGCCGCGTACACGTTGTCCTGGTACACCTGGAAGGGCGCAAGGCGTCATGGGGGCTGGCTGTTGCCCGGCTTCCCGCTCCCCTGCGCCACGCACCTCGTCCGCCAGCAGAAAGAGCCGCTCTTCAAAGGCGAAGCGGATCACAGCCTCGATGCACTCGCGGGTCTGCACCTGCCCTGGGGTGTGGGGGAGGCAGCAGGGCTGGGTGAGCCAAGGGGGCGCACTGCCCTCCACTGGGCAGCCGGGGGACGGCAGACCCGGCACTGCCAGGGCGCACAAGGGTGCGGGAGGAGTGGGGCGGGGCGGCGGGAACGCACCGGTGGGGTTGCCAGGGTTGATGACACACAGCGCACGAGGGTGGCAGTGGCCACGCGCCTGACACAGTGCACGGTGAAGCTCGGACACGTCCAACGCCCAGGCGCGTTCCTCGTCCAGGTAGTAATCCACCTGCACTGCGCCCAGCTCTGCCAGTGTGGCCGAGTAGAGTGGGTACTGGGGGATAGGAATGAGCACACCTGTGCGTGTGTGGCCCTCGCCGGCCACCAGCAGCTTCAGCACCGTCTGCAAGAAGGAAGGGGAAGGCAGGGTTGGCAGGGCCTGGGGCTGCACCTGTCCCCCACCCCGGGCACCCCCTCTGCAGTGTCAGGAATGTCTTCCTGCGCATGCCCAGCCTACCACGATGGCGTCGCTGGCTCCTGTGGACAGGAAGACATTGTTGGGGTCCGCAGGGATACCTCCGTCGCGCCTCTCGATGTACTGCGCCACGTCCTCCCGGATCAGCTGGATGCCGGAGCTGACGCTGTAGGCCCCTGGACTCGGGCAGGACAGGATGGGAGTTACAGGTGAAGTTCTCAGCCCTCCCAGGGGACCTCCCTCCCCCAGCGGCAGGGCCGCCCTCTGCCTCCTCCTGGCCCTGGCTCTCACCCAGGCTGTGGCCCCCACACGCCTGCAGGATGCGCTCCGCCCTCTTCTTGGCATCGTCAGGGAAGCTGGGGCTGGTCAGAAGATCGGGGTTGACACAGAGAGCCAGGACCTGGGAGGACGGAGTGCTGAGGTCAGGGCACACGGGCGGGGGGTGGAGGGGTGCAGCGGGCACGAGCCTCACCTGGCGCAGGAAGGTGATGGGCCTCTGCCCCATAGCCTGTGCGTCCCCGATGTTGGCACGGATGACCTCGGTGAAAGGCTTCTTCACACCCTGGGAGGGGAGGGGAGCAGGCAGGGAGACCGTGCCCTACCTAACTCCTCAGCCCTTGTGCCGTGAGCCAGTGGGACTGGGGCCAACTCGGCCACCCCAGTGTGACCTGGAGGGCAGCGAGGGGCCTGGGCCATACCTGGCGCAGCTCCTGCTCCAGCTCCAAGGCTCGCTGCACTATGGGGCCACGCACTGCGTACTCCACTCGCCGCACACGCGGATTCATGCTGTGCAGCGTCAGCACCTTCGTCCTCAGTCCGTTCCTCACTGCCTGGCTCTGGTCACCTGTGCTCGAGGCCATGACTCTACCCAGACCAGGTGGGAAGGCGGCTCAGGAGGTGGCAGGACCAGAAGTGGGAGTGGGGACAGCTGGGTCTGGCTCAGTGGGCCACGGCTGGGAGGAGGCAGCCGTAGCAGAGGGGACGCCAGGCAAGAGGGCACCCTCTTCACCGCAGCTGGCCCCACTGGGGGAGACAGAAAGGGCTGAAGGAGCTGGGGACAGTTGGGCCCCGCCCCACCCGTCTGGGAACAGCTCTGCTCCAGGGAGGCAGAGACAGTGGGCGAGGCAGCAGGCGGGGCTTGGGGCAAGGCCCGGTGCCTGCCCAGTGTCCCCATGAAGGGAGAGCAGGAGACCCACATGGGGGGTAGGTACAGACGTCAGTCCCGGTCCGGACAGCTCTGAGGGACTAGATGTGGGGCCGGGGGCTGAGCGCCTAGGGTGTTCAGGAGGTGAAGGGAGTGCCCAGCAGCCCTGAGGGGCTGGCAGAGCTGGAAAGGAGGGACCCCCGAGGTGAGACTGGAGCCTGGGCTGCTGGGATTTACCCCAGCAGGGCTTGGCCAAGGCCTAGCCCTCGTGGCACCCGCATCTTTGCTTGGGCCAGCGGACCTGTCTCCTTAGTAACTGAGCCAGGCCTCAGGAATCCAGGGGGTGCTGGGGGGAGGGGAGGGGTGTTCAGGCTCTGGGTTCCATCTGGCCTCTCCAGGGCTGGCACCTATGGCCCAGAGGCTGCGAGAGCTCTGTAGCTGGACCTTGGTCCCTGATGAGCACTGCGAGGGGCTGGGGGAGGGGGCTGGAGCCAGGCAGTCCAGCCCTGGGCCCTAAAACAGCTCACACCGTGGCTGCCCTTTCATCAGGCACCAGCTGGGGGTTGCCCTTGGGACACACCCCAGGCTAGGGGTGACCTGAGTTCTCTGGCCCTCTTGTTCCCGATTGGAGGAGAGAGTAGGAAATGAGCCGGGATAGGTCGTCAGAGACCCACCTCCACAGGCCTGCCAAGCCCAAAGGCCAGGCTCAGTGCTGGCCCACCCCAACAGCCACCACGAAACCTGACCCACAGGGGTCAGGATAGCCGGCCCCCAGGCCTCTCACCTTGCACTTCTCTGCTCCGCTGCCACAACGGCCTCCCAGTGCGCAGGCCTGCCCTTCTGGCCCTGAGACAGGGGCACAGGTTAATATGGGCCTGGCCCCAGGCAGAGCCAGCCCCTGCCCGCCCCCTGGCAGCAGAGCCCAAGTGGCAGCCCTGGTGGCAGGTGGACCTTGGGCAGCTGCCCCACCCCCCACACTAAATTTAACCAGCAGCCAGTCCCCGCCTGCCCGTAGCCCTGCAAGAATACCCTTCCAACCAGGGATGCTAGGGGAAGGGCAGGCCCAAAGGACACTGGGCTGACAGGCCCGTGCTGAGCCAGGAGAGAGAACATCCCAAACCCACACCACCCAGCACTGGTGGCCACACAAAGCTGCCCGCCATGAACAGACAAACCGGCGGTGCCCTCAGCCCTCCTGCTTGAGGCCCCTAAGGGACCCCCTCACCCTGACACCTTGTGCCCAGCCAGCTCAGAGCCAGAATGGCCAACTGCGTGTCCCCTATGCCAGCCCAGGCAGAAGCTGGCAGCCAGGCCCCAGGATTGGGGCTGCATGCCAGGAACTGGGGACCCACAACCCCCCCCCCCCCAGGGAGGTTCTGACACAGTCTTGTCCTTGTTTTGCTCCTGTGGCTCTGGCACAAGAGTCTTGTGGAAAACACCACTTCCCTTTCCAGGCCATGGTCCCTGGGACCCCCACCCTCCACCTCCCCAGCACAGACACCCTAGACGCTGGCCCCCGTTGGAGGCTCCTTCAAAGCACCTGGCTCCTCTCAGGAAAGCAAAGGGTTACAAAGGCGGCTCCAGGAGGCTGAGCACAGGAGGGAGTGGGTGAGGCCCAGGCTTCCAGCCCAGTGGCCGTGGGCCTCACTCCCACACGGCCAGGGCTGCCACATGCCCCTGCGTGCACCTACAGGCTTTCGTGCTCACAGGCATGGGTGGCACCCCGACCAAACGGCACAACCCACTCCCCACCGTGGGGCAGCAAACCAGCTGAGACACACAACACACAAGCAGACTCCATGGCAAACAGCCTTTATCGAGAGTTGCAAGATAAAAAGTCTTTGCAGTCCGATGTCTCTCCAGGCATGTCTTCTGCCCTGAGAGGGGCCAGTGTCCTGCACAGTCAAAGCCGGGGTTTCTGTGCTGCCCACCCGCAGCACCAGGGCACGCACCGTGGGGAGGCAGCCTTGGGCTGTGCCCAGGGACAGGAGCCCTGCCCGCCGAGGAGCCGCCTCACATGAGCAGGCAGCACGGCCTCCTCTCCACAGGAGCCTCCACCGCCGGGGCTGTGAGCTTGAGCAGCGGTGGGTCCCCGCCTGCCCTGAAGCCACAGTCAGGCTGGGGGGTCTCCGTGTGACCAGGCAGGCCAGGCCCCGCCGTCTCGGGGCTCTCGGGCCCCTCAGGCGGGGGTCGCTGCAGCTTGGCGGCAGCTCGCTGGCGCTTCAGGTCAGCCAGGGTGTGGTGGGCCTTGTCATGCACCAGCGTGTGGGGGGCGGTGCTGTCCAGGGAGCTCAGCTGGTATGAGACACTCCGGTCCAGTCGCTTGGAGTACAGATGCCGCGCTGGGGAGCCCCCTACTCGGCCATTGTGCGGCCTGACCACTTCGGGGTTGTCCTCCTGCAGGCAGTGAGGGTCTCAGAGGCCATCAGGAGGCTCCTCCCCGCTCCCCAGCCTTGGGTTCAGGCTGTATGGTCACGAAGGGACGGACAGGAGAGATGGGGCAGCAGCTGGCCTCTACAGGGCACCATTCCTAACAGGCAGGAGGGGGTCCAAGCAGAGAGAGAACCAGGGCAAAGCCAGGCCCACCCCTGCGCTGGGCGGAGCAGGGACGAGACGCTCACCTCCGGGGGCGGTGGCCTGAGCTCTGCGTCAGTCTGGCAGTCGTCACTGTCCTCGGGCGGCTCCGGGCTGGGGGGCGGCGGCTGTTGCCACACGATAGCCTCCTGGGCGTGCTGCTTGCGGTACAGGTCGGTGCGCTGGGTCAGGCTCGCCCGCCTCACCACCTTCCTGGGGAGGAGAGAGAAGAGGGAGAGTGAGGGGAAGGGGAGTGCCGGGAGGACCCCGCCCGCCCCCTCGTACTCTGCCCCCAGTTCGGCTGGCACTCCGCCGGGGCTGACAACCGCGGGGCCAAGCCGGGGGCGGAGCCTGCTGGGGGCGGCGCTCACCCGCGGCTGCCGGCGCTGGAGGTGCGGCGGCGCAGCAGGGAGCGCTGGCGGCCCTGGGCGCGCAGGAGTGCGTCGTGCTTGTGCTTCAGCTCCAGCAGCTTGGCCCGCACCTCCTCGTCCCCACACACATCTGAGAAGTGGGTGCAGGCGTCAGGGGCACCCTCCTCGCCTGTCCTCTCCCCCAGGTGGAGGTGGGCCCCGCAATCTCACCAAGGGGCGTCTCGTCCATCAGGGACTTTGCGTTCAGATCGGCCCCATGCGCCACGAGCAGCTCCACCAGGGGCACCTGTGGGCGGCAGGCAGGAGCTGCAGACGGCTGCGCTGGAAGCCCCCTCCCACCTGCTGCTGCCCGCACTCACCTGGCCCCAGTAGGCTGCGGCGTGCAGCGGCTCCCAGCCGTCTTGGTCCTTAGCGCTCAGGCTGGCTCGGTGTTCCAGCAGCAGGGCAGCCGCCTCGCTGAACCCGTTGGCGGCTGCGATGTGCAGCTGCAGGCAAGCGCCCGGCCTGAATTCGGCCCCATCCCCCACCTCCAAGGAGCAAGGCCCCCAGCCCCGCATGCCCCTCAGCCCCTAGCCCTCACCAGCGTGGCCCCGTGGTCCAGCGGGGCATGGAGGTCTGCCCCGGCCTGCAGCCGGCTCCGGATGTCGTCCAGCATGCGCAGTTCTGGCACGGCCCGGGCGGCCTCGATGCTGTCCTGGGTGATGCCTGCGAGGCGGCAGGCTCAGAGGGAGCGCCACCGGCAGCCCTCCCACAGCCGCACCGCCGCACCTACCACGGTCGGCCATGGCAGTCTCCAGGCAGTCCAACGTCTGCTCATCGTCACACAAGTCATAGGGCATGTTCCCGTCGCTGTTGACTGCCAGGAGATTGGCGCCACTGCAGGGAAGAGGGACGCGGTGCTGGACACAGGGCCCTTCCCCACTTGCCAAGCTTCTCACTTGGAGAGGTCCCCCCCAGGGCCCCTCAGCCCAGGGCTGCCCCTCAGGAGGCACCCTGTCCACCTGCTGCTGGGAGAGGTGGCCTCGGGGCCCATTGGCTGCCCCTCAGTCCTAGATCCTGTGGTTCAGCCAGACAGGCCTCCTGCAGTCTCTACCCATCCGGGCTCCAGGTTCCTGGCACCTCCAGGGGCAGTGGTGCCCCCATAAACGTGCACTAGATGGGTCTGCCTGCTGGGGGAGCAGGGACCCTGGGGACCCCAGGGAGCACAGGGCGGTGGGGTCGCAGGACCAGGCAGCCACGCTGAGGGGCCGCAGAGCTGTGGGGAGCATAGCCCCGGGGAAGGAGGTCAGCAAAGGGGAGCCCAGGACACAGAAGGGGGTGTGCCTGTGTGCAGAGGAGGAACAGGCCTACCTGTGGACACCCCACATCCCCGCCCACCCTGCAGCGCCTGAGTGTGATGGGACCGCCATCCACACCCCATCTGGCCTCACGGGGGCACTCGAGACTGACTGCAGCCCTGACCTCTCTCCCACTACAGATGCCTGGAGCGAAGGGGAAAGAAGGGAGGAGGCTCGTGGACGCTGGTGAGGCCACCACCCTCCCTCCTCAGAGCTCTTCCTGCTCTATGTCCCTCTATGTTAAAGGTAAAAGCCCTACCGGTGCTCAGGTACCCTCTCCTCCCAAGCCACCTGGCCTCCTCACTCCCCTTCTCTCCTTACCAGTTCTGTCCTCACTGACCAAGACATTTCTCTGTGTACACCCTGGGGGAGCCCGAGACCGCCCTCTCGGCAGGAGGATGCATGCTGGGGAGGCAGAGACCAAGCTGCCCTGGGCACATGCCCATCCCCTTGGGGCCCCAGGCTCTGCTCTCCATGCCAGGACACAGGCAGGGTCAGCAAAGGTGAAGGTGGGAACACAAGAGGTCGAGAGCCGGGTCTACTGCCCAAGAGGGGCCTCCTGAGCGGCCATCTGAGAGGAAGCCCCTCCCTGCCACGGACGCCCAGCAGGCCCTACCTGGCGATGAGCAGCTCCACCAGGTGCAGGTGGCCACAGGTGGCCGCAGCATGCAGAGGCGTCCAGCACTCACTGTCGCAGGCATTGATGTTGGCCCCAGCCTCCAGGAGTTGCTGCACCATCTCTCGGAAATCATCAATGCAGCACTGCAAACCGTGCCACGTGAGCGGCCAGAGCACGGGGGCCAGCCCCACCCCACCCACGCCCAGCGAGGGCTGACCTGATGCAGGGCTGTCAGGCCATCCTCGTTAGCCAAGTCAGGGCTGACCCCACTCCCAAGGAACTGGCGGACTGAAAAGAGGTGGCGAGGTGAGGACAGGGTCCTGTCCCTGGTCGGGTCCTGTCAACTGTGCTTCGGCCCAGGACTCAGGGAAGGACAAAGAAGACAGTGGTGCCAATGGCCAGAGGCACACCAGAGCCGGGGGGTGGGGGCAGGAGCACCAGGCATCTGTCTGGCCCAGGCCAGTCACACTCCCAGAAGCCCTCTGCCTCCACCCACCTGCAGGCCCTTCATGGTGGTGCTCCAGCCTTCTGACCCCCAGAACAGGCCGTGCTTCTGTGTGAGAGCAGCACTCCAACAATCCCGCACCTCCCTTCAGCCAGGAAGGGCTCCCTGCCCCGAGGCTACCGCAGCTAGGCTGTGCCATAAAGCTGCAGCTCCTTCGGCTCTCCCCTGACAACTGGCCAGCCCTGTGTTCATGATCTCCCCTGGGTCCTCTGGGACCTGACCTGAGGCTCCCCACCAGCAGAGTACATCCCTGCTCTCGCTCCCCTCCCCTTCAAAGATCCCAACTCAGGCCCAGCTCTCACCCAGGTCACCAGGGTCCTCCCTGATGGCGCCTGGGGTGCAGCAGAAGGGCTCCTGCCTTCCCACAACTCCCTGTGGACCATGGCACCCTCTGCCTCCAGGCCTCCTGGGAGGGCTCCTGTCCACATGGGAAGATGTAGGCCAGACACTGCCAGCTCCTCCTTACTCTGCCGTGGAGGGAGGCAGGGAGGGGTCAAGGGCCACTACAGTGCCTCTTCTCCCCAGACCCCAGAGCACCACAAGTGGAACCCACACAGCTGTGGCGGCAAGCGTGGGGCACAGGTGAGGAGAACAGAGTCAAAAGCAGAGCCTGCGGCAGGCATCGAGAGAGGGACCCCCAGCATGGGCTCTGTGCCTACCCGGGGCCTGGCTCTCTAACCCGCAGAGGTGGAGACCAGGGCTCTCCTGAGCAGCCTAGAAAGAGGCAGCAAAGAAGCCGGGCGCGGTGGCTCAAGCCTGTAATCCCAGCACTTTGGGAGGCCGAGACGGGCGGATCACAAGGTCAGGAGATCGAGACCATCCTGGCTAACATGGTGAAACCCCGTCTCTACTAAAAATACAAAAAAAACTAGCCGGGCGAGGTGGCGGGCGCCTGTAGTCCCAGCTACTCGGGAGGCTGAGGCAGGAGAATGGCGTAAACCCGGGAGGCGGAGCTTGCAGTGAGCTGAGATCCGGCCACTGCACTCCAGCCTGGGCGACAGAGCGAGACTCCGTCTCAAAAAAAAAAAAAAAAAGAAAGAGGCAGCAATGACTGCCGGCCACCCTGCCCACACGCCCCGCACCAGGTGTATGGCCACCCCGCCCCCACGGGCCCCGCACCAGGTGTATGGCCACCCCGCCCCCACAGGCCCCGCACCAGGTGTCCGGCCACCCCGCCCCCCCGGGCCCCGCACCAGGTGTCCGGCCACACCGCCCCCGCGAGCCCCGCACCAGGTGTCCGGCCACCCCGCCCCCGCGGGCCCCGCACCAGGTGTCCGAAGGCTCCTGGGGGTACACCCATGGCCTCCGCTCACCTCACAGCAGGACCCCTCTGCATGCAGCCCCCACCTGAAGGAAGGCTGTCCTGCACGGGCTCACCTCACGGCTGCCCACTGCTTGGGGTTTGCCTGATGGGGGGATGCTGGGCTACCCAGCCTGAAGAGACCAGGCAAGATCTGGGGGCTGGAGCCCAGGAGCTGTGGACAGGCCCAGCCCCAGGCTTGGCACGAGACGGCCCCCAGGTGGCAGGGAGTGGCCGCTTGCTGGGAGCTGCTCTGGGCTCAGCCATACTCACCTTCTTCCAGGTCATTTCGGGCAGCGGCCTCCAGAAGGACAACACTGGGAGGGAAGACGACCTGCTTCGGGGGCCCTCGGCCGGCTGCCTCCTTCCGGGGACGCTCCCCAGGACCTTTCTTGCCCTGGGCCTCCTTCTCAGCCTGGGCCCACATCTTCACCTGCTGGGCACGCCGCTTCTGGGCATGCTTCAGCCGCTCCTGCGTACTCATCCTGCCCACCATGGGCATCTCTGCCAGCAGCTCCAGGTGCTCGGCCATGGTGGTGGCTGCTTGCCCACAGGGCTGCTCGGGGCACCAGAGTGGGGAGCTTGGGGGCCAGGCTGGGCCTGAGGGGTGGGGCAGCTGGCTGGACTGGCACCCTCGGGGGCATCCCCTTCCCAAAGCTCCGTGCCCTTGGCTGGGTCAGGAGGCCCCACACGATATCCAGGCCCAGGCAGCCCTGGGGGGCACGGGCCAGGGCAGGGAGGGCAGTGTGGAAGGGCACCCCGAACCTGCTCCCCAGGCCAGCCTCTAGCTGTCGACCAGCAGTGCCTCGCCTCCCTCTCGGGGTCAGGGTGCACAACCTATGGGAGGCAGCCCCGAGACCTGGCCGGCCTCAGTCCAGGGTCTGAAACTAATTACCCAGATAACAAGGTTCCAGCTTCCTGGCACCTTGCTGAGGGGGAAGGGAGGGCAGGGCCAATCAGCAATGAGAGCCCCCGTGAGCCCCTGAGAGCCCTCTTTTCACTTTCTAGGCTCAGGAGCCTGGGTGGGGCCTGAGAGCAGCCATGGCCCAGCCCCCCAACCCCTCCCAGCTGTGTGCCGAGGTAAGTGCGTCAGTACTAATGAGGAGGTGCAGCCGCTGAGGCTGGGGCAGGGCAGGTGGTCAGAGTCCTGGCGTCCTGGCCCCAGGGCCCAGGGGTGAGGCTCTCTAGGCAGCCAGGGCACCAAGGGCACAGGCGGGCCAGCCACAGTGTCTTCAGGAGCACCTCCCCTTCCGGCAGCTGCTCACACCTGAGAAGTGGGGAACAAGGAAGCACATTGAGGCCAGCTTGAGGCAGGGTGGCCCCAGGGAGCCCCTGCCCTGGGCCTCAGGTGAGACCAGGCTTCCAGCCATCTCGGGTCCTGCCCTGTGTGAGGCCCACCCTCTGGTCCACAGAGAGCACTGCAGAGCAACAATCCTGGGGGTATGGGGAGCTACTCTGCCCCCATTCTGCCCCAGGTTCAGAGAGGGGAAGGGGAAAGGCATGTCAGGCTCCTCCCACCCACCCTTTCCAGAAATGGCTGCCCACCCCAGCGAGGCATTCCCTGCTAGGCTGCTCCTCCAGGGCCAGGCGCTGCCCTCAGGCTGGGTAGGGTGAGGTCTCCTGGAACAGTCATGAGGGCTTTGCAGGCTACTGCCTTCTAAGGGCAGGCCCCGCCTCCTGCGCCTCCGCCTGTCCTGACTGACACCACAGCTTCTCACTGCCCAGTCTCTAGACCTCTTCCTTGCTGGGTTCCCACAATGCCTCTGCCATCCTGGGCTGCAATAAAAGCCCCCACCTGGTGCCTGGCTTGAGGCCTATGGGGACAGACAGGCAGGCAGGCAGCTTCGGCTGGAGCACAACCCTGGCGATGTACCCGCTATGGCCCTAGTCCTGCCCGACACACCAAGTGTGGTCGCTTGGCTGGCCACAGGCTGCACCTCAGAAGGCACTCTGTGCTTGGCTGGGCGCGGTGGCTCACGCCTGTAATCCCAGCACTTTGGGAGGCTGAGGTGGGTGGATCACGAGGTCAGGAGTTCGAGACCATCCTGGCTAACACGGTGAAACCCCGTCTCTACTAAAAATACAAAAAATTAGCCGGGCATAGTGGCGGGCGCCTGTAGTCCCAGCTACTTGGGAGGCTGAGGCGGGAGAATGGCGTGAACCCGGGAGGCGGAGCTTGCAGTGAGCCGAGATCGCGCCACCGCACCCCAGCCTGGGCGACAGAGCGAGACTCCGTCTCAATACATACATACATACATACATACATACGTACATACATACGTACATACGTACATACATACGTACGTACATACATACATACATACGTACATACATACATACATACATACGGCACTCCGTGCTCTGCAGAAGATGCCTGCCAGGAGTCCCATTCTCTACCCAGCCAGGCCTCATGGCCATCTACACACTGACCCAACTCTTCACTGCTGGACTTATACCCAGAAGAAGTCATAGAATTGCCCCCTTCTTTCAGGAAGGGAACTGTCCTGGGCCAGGTCAAATTAAGCCAGTCAGGTCCTTCCTGTTCAGGGGCCCCCAATTTATCTGGGAGCACCACTTTACAGGTTCAGCCTACTCTAGACATAGTTCCCCTCTGCAGGCGTAGCCTCAGAGGCTTCCTGAGGACATGGCCAATAAGGCCAGTAGCCCCGGCCTGGCTTTCTGTCTGCCAGGTAAAGAGCTTTTCCAGGCAGTAGCTCTCCCTCTGAGCAGCCTGCTCCCAAGCCTCGCCAGCTCTGCAGACCGCAGAGGCCAGGGCAAGCACACGCTGGCCAGACGCCCCGCCCAGGCTCCCAAGTCCTCCCCTTGCCCTCTAGAGACACAGCATGGGTACCAGAGAGGCAGGAGAGCCACTCCTGCAGGCATGCTGCCAGCTCCCCATCTGCGAGGACAGAGGAGGCACACCACACCTGGTATGGCAGAGCCCGCCCTCCCTGCCAGCCAGTCATAGCCCACACCCTCTTCCTGACAGGGCTGGCGAGATGAGATCCTCACCTCTCTGTCATTGGCATCTCTGGACCTGCCAGAGAACCCACCTGGGCAGTAGCCACTTACCCCCACCCCAACCCAAAGAGATCACAAGCCAAGAGCAAGGGAAGGAGAGCAAGGCAGGCTGCCCTCGCCCAGCCCCAGTCTCTCTCCAGCCACGGGAAGGAGAGATTAAGAAGATTTAGCTGTCAGAGAACAGTGGCTCATGCCCACACTTTGGGAGCCAAGGTAGTAAGGTCACTTGAACCCAGGAGTTCAAGGCCAGCCTGGGCAACAGAGTAAGACCCCATCTCTACAAAATAATTTTAAAATTAGCTGGTGGCACACGCCTGTGGTCCCAGCTCCTCCGGAGGCTGAGGTGGGAGGATCCCTTGAGCCTGGGAGGGAGAGGCTGCAGTGAGCTGAGATCACACCACCGCACTCCAGCCTGGACTCCAGAGGGATATCCTGTCTCAAAAAAAAAAAAGATTTAACAGACTACCGTCCCCAGCATTTTATAAAGAAAAGATGGGCAGGGCACGGTGGTGGCTCAAGCCTTAATCCCAGCACTTTGGGAGGCTTAAGCAGGCAGGTCTCTTGAGCCCAGGAGTTCGAGACCAGCCTGGGCAACACAGTGAGACCCCGTCTCAATTTATATTACTAAAAAATAATTAATGTAAGAGAAAAAAATTAAAACAAATTTTTAAAAAGGAAGAAAAGATGTTCGGATGCCCGTGTCCTGCAGAAGAGAAAGCCTGAGCACAGCAGCCGCACTCCCGATGGAACGCCTGTCTGGTTCCTCGTTCCGAGCTCATCCGTGAAAATTCGTCAGAGAACAGCATCTGGACAGTGCAAACCGCCCCCCAACACCCCCGGCTGCAGAGGGAGGCCCACAGGTGGGGAGGCTCTACCTCCCCCACCCCACCAAGCACGGCTCACAGGGCACTCGGCCCCCACCCTGGCAGGCCCACCTTCCTAGCTGGAAGCTGCCCGATGTCTGCATGGGACTCTGGGCAGGTTCCTGTCCTGCTCGAGGGCCCAGCTGCCTCCTCTAAGAGAAAATGAGGTGCCCAAAGTGAGCCCAGAGCCCCCCAAGAGTGGGTGCCAGGGGGCGTCCCAGTGCCCACTTCCCCCCAGGCTGAGCCCTAAGTGTCCCCCTCTGGCCTCCCTGCCCAGGAACCAGCCTCAGAAGGAAGGGGCTGGCTGAAGGCCCACGGCAGCGGGCTGAGGGCTCCAGGAGGAAAGGCGGCCTCCCACCCACCTGAATCTTGGCTGCCCTAGCCGAACTTCACCAAGCTTTGTCTACTCCTCCCAGCCACAGATGGATCAGGAACAGCCCACCAGAGCCGAGAAGACTTGCCCCTCAGCTGAGCCATGAAGGCCTGGTGGCCGGCTCGTAGTCCTCCCAAACGGACACACCCAGGCTGAGGGGCTGGGCAGGGCGGCTCCCTCTCCTCCACAAACCTTCCCCCAAACCTCCCTGGAATGTCAAACAGATTCCCAGGTCGGTTCATTCCAGTTCTAAACAGATAACCTGGTCGGTTCATTCCAGTTCTCAGTCAAAGCCCAGGCCAGCTGCACTTGAGTGCGGGCCCAGGCGGGAGGAGCCCGTGGAGGATACGGGGCACTGTTCCGACCCTCACCCACCGTCCCCTCACAGCCTGCATACCTCTGGGCCATGTGGCTTCAGGAAGGGAGGCCCAGCAGAGCACGGAGGCCCAGCCCAAGCTCCCAGGAGCCCCCGTGAGAACAGCTCCAGGCCCAGGAGCCTCAGCACCCTCTCTACTGCCATCACCCCGTCTTCCACACGGGGAGACCAAGGCCACGCCTAAATCCAGAGCTGCCCCGGTCACCACGTCACCACAGCGCCCACCTCCCAGTGTCCATGGTGCAAGGAGGGCCCAGAGCCCGAGGGGCGGCGTCACTCTATTCACCAGAGATAGGGACAAGGGATAGGTGGAGGCCGCATGCCATTGGGAAAAAGAAAAGAGAGGAAAGGGGTAGGGGAAAGAGTCTGAGAAACGCTGAGGACGGTGCAGAAAGAGGATGGGAACTCGCTTCCACAGGCGGGGCGGAGGGCCGGGCACCTGCTGCAGGCACCCACGTTCACAGGGATGTGTGAACAGTGCACCTCAGTAAGGTGCACCTCCAAACTTAAAATGTGCACCTAGGCACAGTGGCTCACGCCTGTAATCCTAGCACTTTGGGAGGCCGAGGCTGGTGGATCACCAGGTCAGGAGATCGAGACCATCCTGGCTAACACGGTAAAACCCCGTCTCTACTAAAAATACAAAAAATTAGCTGGGTGTGGTGGCGGCACCTGTAGTCCCAGCTACTCGGGAGGCTGAGGCAGGAGAATCGCTTGAACCCAGGAGGCGGAGCTTGCAGTAAGCCAGAACTGCATCACTGTACTCTAGCCTGGGTGACAGAGAGAGACTCCATCTCAAAAATTAAACAAAGTACGCCTTTTGACAGCCTGATTTCTAGGACCTCACCCTACTAAAACCCCCAGAGCAGGTCAGCTAGAGGGACTGACGGTGCTGGGGAGCCTGCCTGCCTTCTGGCCGCACATCACAGGGTGAAAGCCCACGTACCACGGTGCTGTGGGCGGCACCTGGACGGTCCCACAGGAGCCCCACCAGGGACGGGCCGGCCCAGTGCCCCCACACTGCCTGCCCTACGGCTGGTTCTGGGGGCTTTTATAGCCCAGTTATGCTTAGGCTTGGTGGAGTTGGTTCCTGTAACTTACAACTAAAAAACCTGGTTGTTTTGTTGTTGATTTTTTATGTTTTTTAAGAGACAGGGTCTCACTCTTGCCCAGGCTGGGGTGCAGTGGTACAATCACGGCTCACTGCAGCCTTGACCTCCCAAGGTCAAGCAGTCCTCCCACCTTGGCCTCCCAAGTAGCTGGGACCACAGGTGGGATCACCACACCCAGAAAATTTTTCTTTCTTTTTTTTTTTTGAGATGGAGTCTCACTCTTGCCCAGGCTGGAGTGCAGTGGCGCGACCTCTGCTCACTGCAAGCTCCGCCTCCGGGTTCCCGCCATTCTCCTGCCTCAGCCTCCCGAGTAGCTGGGACTACAGGCCACCGCCACCTCGCCCGGCTCATTTTTTGTATTTTTAGTAGAGACGGGGTTTCACCGTGTTAGCCAGGATGGTCTCGATCTCCTGACCTGGTGATCCACCCGCCTCGGCCTCCCACAGTGCTGGGATTACAGGTGTGAGCCACCACGTCCGGCCTACACCTGGCTAATTTTTAAATTTGTTTTGTAGAGACAGTGTTTTCCTGTGTTGCCCAGGCTTGTGTCTGGACTCCTGGACTTAAGCAATCCTTATGCCTCGGCCTCCCAAAGTGCTGGGATTATAGGTATGAGCCACCACATCCGACCAGATCTGATTTTATTTGTAGCAGTATCTACGAGATACAGAGCAAAAAATGGGAAACTACCTAGATGCCTATCATTCTGGGAAAAATAACTGTGTAGCCGTTCTGTAGAATAACGTCTATACATACACATCTGTTAACAAGAGAAGGTGGGTCTCAATGTCCTTGGGAGAATGGCTATGGTATCTTGCCAGTGGGTACAGAGGCTGCCAGAGCCTGGCTAAAAGTGTTACATACACACAGACTGGTTTGTTTGATTCTGTTTTGTTTGTTTCTGAGGCAGGGTCTTGCTCTGTCCCCAGGCTGGAGTGCAGTGCTGCAATCACAGCTCACTGCAGCCTCAACGTCCTGGGCTCCAGCGATCCTCCCATCTCAGCCTCCCCAGTAGCTGGGACTACAGGTGCACGCCACCACACCCGGCTTATTTGTTGTTGTCTTTTTTGTGTGTGGAGTTGGGGTCTCCCTGTGTTGCCCAGACTGGTCTCAAACTCCTGGGCTGATGCGATCCTCCTGCCTCAGCCTCCCAAAGTGTTGTGATCACAGACACGCGTCACCATGCCTGGCCAGACTTCTTTGTATGGGCAGAGAGGCTGTCTGGGAGTCAGTGGCTGCAGTGCTGGACTCTCAGAAGGACTGCTGACCTTCTGAAGGTGCAGGCTCTGGAGACATGCCTCACCCCAGCTGTAACCAACCCCAGTGCTGGGTGTCCTGCCAGAGAGATGTTCACCGTTCATCGGGAAGGCTGGATGGGAGGCTTCTCCAGCCAGACTGCTGGTCTCTCCCCAACCCTTGGCTGGGCAGACAGCAGCTCACCGTTTTTTTTTTTTTTTGAGACAGGGTCTTGCTCTGTCACCCAGGCTGGAGTGCAGTGGTGCGATCTCGGCTCACAGCAACCTCCACCTCCCAGGTTCAAGCGATTTTCCTGCCTAAGTCTCCCAATTAGCTGAGATTACAGGCGCCTGCCACCACACGGGCTAATTTTTGTATTTTTAGATACGGCGTTTTGTCATGTTGGCCAGGCTGGTCTGGAACTCCTGACCTCAGGTGATCTGCCCGCCTTGGCCTCCCAAAGTGCTGGGATTACAGGCGCGAGCCATCACACCCAGACCCAGCAGCTTACCTTTGAGGACTCCTGATGGCACCTTCCCGACCCCTGCCACCAACCCACAGCAGCGTCTACACGTGGGTTCTGTGTCCCGGCCAGTCTCTTCCACTAGACGACAGGCTTGCTGAGAGCACAGTCTGCAGGACCCTCTTCTACGACTCCTCACCCCTGTGCCAGCACCTGGAAGAGGGGCCTTCATCAGCCGTTGTGAAGGACCGAGGGAGCCAGGCAGAAGCTGGCAAGGCAGGCACAGCTCAGTGCGGCCAAGGAGTGGACAAGCTCAGGCCAAGGCTCCCTATGGCCCATGGCCCGCATGGTCCACTCTGAAAAGAAGCCAAATGTCCAGAGACCTCCCAAAACGTGACAAGGACAGCACCAGCCATAAAGCAGGTTGGTGGCTGCTGGAGAGCTTCCATTTGGACTTGTCTGCCTGTGCCCTGGGGAGGGACAGCGGGGGCAGGCCCTGCCTTTAAGCAGCCTACATCTGGGGACTGGAGTCGAGCTGCAGGATGCGCACCAGCATGTCACACCACATCTACTGCGGTCACCACAGAAGGCATGGGGTGTCCAGGGCAGACGAAGAGGCTCTGGAAGGGCCTCTGCAGCTGCATGAAGCTCTGGGAGGGAGGCCCCAGCAGTAAGTTTCCTACACACAGGGCACGCCCGGGGCCTGCAGACTGCTCCAAGGAAGCAGCAGTTTAGGGGAAGTGGTGGCTGGATGAGTGAGTGGTGATGGGGGCAGGAGGGAGGGTCTGAGTGTCCTCCAGGGCCCAATGTGCAGCTCACCCCCTCCCAGTCCAACCCTCAGAAGTTCATCCCAAAGCATCTGCATCGGCATGAAATACTGCAACCTCTGGCTCCTGGGTTCAAATGATTCTCCTGCCTCAGCCTCCTGAGTAGCTGCGATTATAGGTGTGTGGCACAACACCCAGCTAATATTTGCATTTTTAGTAGAGAGAGAGGTTTCTCCATGTTGGCAAGGTTGGTCTTGAACTCCTGACCTCAAGTGATCTGCCTGCCTCAGCCTCCCGAAGTGCTGGAATTACAGGGGTGAGCTGCCGCGCCCGGCCAGGAGGGGGCTTCTGATCCAGGCTTTCTCCAGCCTCCATCCTGAAACCCTGCCCTGGGGCTCTGTCCCCAGCGACACCGTGTCTTCCCTACTGAGGGCCCTCCTTCCCCAACCCCTGTGCTCCTGGCTGAGGCCTGGAGTCCCCTCCCCTCCTCTCCCTGAGCGTTTCATGCTCCTGGCTGAGGCCTGGAGTCCCCTCCCCTCCTCTCCCTGAGCATTCCAGCTGGAACACACATCATCAGGCACCAAGCACCCAGCACCCAGCACCGGCCCTCACTGTGGCTTCACCCCCACCCATCACTGCCCGAATTCCTGGTGGTCTAATGTTCTCGTGGAGAAACTTCCGCAGACTGCCTGTCCCCTCCGAGCCTTGACCTCTTCTCTACACCAGTGTCCTCATCTGACCAACTGTGCTCCATCACCACCAGTAACTGCAGCCCACGCCTGTCACCTCCATTCAATACCCCACTCTCTGCCCATCGCCTCCTCTCTGCCCGGCTCACTCCTGCAAGCCCTGACTCCAACACTCCAGTGTCTCCCTCACTGCCATGCCCTCACCTTGCCCCACGCCCTCCTGCTCCCACAGCCCCAGTGACTGAACATAGCAGAGCCACTCCCTCAAGGGCTCTGACGCTTGCAGAAATCTGCTTCCCTTGCCCTTTCTCTCCTGCCCTCCCAGACAACGCATATTCCCTGGAAAGACAGAGGCTGACAGGGGAGGATGTCCACTCCAACTTCGAACTGAAAAACAGAACAGCACCCAAAAGCCTCAATGCCTCAGAATAAGCCTAACAAAAAATGTACACAGAAAACCACAACCATATCTTTATGGGAAGATACGGGAGGAGACATCACGTTATATGTCACAAGACCCAGAACCGAAAAGATGTCATTTCTTCCCAAATTCATACAAAATTTGACGTAGTCCCAATCAAAACCCCAACAGTGTGAAACTCACAAGCTAATTCTCCACTTATATGAAACACAAAAGGCCAAGAACAGTAGGGATAAGCCTGAAAGAGAACAAATTTGAAGTACTTACACTGTTAGATGTCAAGACTTATTGTATAGTTTGGTAAGTAAGACCTAAGTTATTGGTTTAGGCATAGAGACATAAACCAATGGAAGACAGTCGAGTCCAGAAAATTGCCAGATGAGGCAGGTCACACCTGCAGTCCCAGCACTTGGGGAGGCCGAGGCAGAAGGATCACTTGAGCCCAGGGGTTCAAGGCCAGCCTAGGCAAAATAGGGAGACCCCCATCTTTACAAAAAATTAAAAATTAGCCAGGCACGGTGGTGCGCCCCTGCAGTTTCAGCTACTCAGGAGGCTGAGGTGGGAAGATTACTTGAGCCTGGGAGGCGGAGGTTGCAATGAGCTGAAATCAACACTGCACTCCAGCCTGGGTAACAGAGCAAGACTCTGTCTCAAAAAAAAAAGACCAAAAACAAAACAGAAATAACCCTACACATGTGTAGACATGCAATTTACGACACTGCTGGGAATGAAAAAGTCTTCAGTAAATGGTGCTGGGGCCAGGCACAGTGACTCATGCCTGTAATCCCAGCACTTTGGGAGGCTGAGGGGGAAGGATTGCTTGAGATCAGGAATTCGAGACCATCATGCTGAAACTCCGTCTCTACTAGAAATACAAAAAATTAGCCAGTTGTGGTGCCACACACCTGTAGCCCCAGCTACTCTGAAGGCTGAGGTGGGAGAATCGCTTGAACCTGGGAGGTGGCAGTTGCAGTGAGCCAAGATCACGCCACTGCACTCCAGACTGGGTAACAGAAAATAATCCAAAAACAAAAAACAAGAATCTTGACCCCCACCCTGGGTGAAATGCAAACCGAATGTAAAGGTGAAATAATAGCAATTCTACAGAGTGGTGACACCAAAGCAAAAGCACAGTCTATAAAATGAAAAACTGAAAAACTGGACCTTGACAAGATTAAAAACTTGCCTTGTTATAAAAATCTTGCGAAGAGGGTGAAAAGACAGCTACTGAGTGAGTAAATATCCACAGACCACACACAGAACGAAGGACTTCTGTCACGAACACACGAGTCTAAAAAAATCAGCAGTCAAAATGAAACCATCCAATTAGAAAAGGAGCAGAGGACGTGAAGACACACTTCACTGAAGAGGATCCACAGATGGCAAATGCGTCCATGACAAGATGCTCAACATCACCCGCCATTCAGAAAATGCAAATTAGAGCCACAGCGAGATACCGCTGCCCACAAATCCAAATGGCAAGGATGTGAGGAAAAAGGAGTCTCACAGGGAGCTGATGAAAACCTGTGGCATAAAACAGCCCCCACTCTGGAGAGCAGTGTGCAAGTTTCTTAAACCAAAACAGCTCAACATGCAACTCCCACGCCAACCAGCAGCTGCGCTCATGGGCCTTTATCCCAGAGAAATGAAAATTTAAGTCGGGCGCAGTGGCCCACGCCTGTAATCCCAGCACTTTCGGAGGCTGGGGCAGGTGGGATCACAGGAGGTCAGGAGTTCAAGACCAGCCTGGCCAACATGCCAAAACCCCATCTGTACTAAAAATACAAAAATTAGCCGGGTGTGGTGGCGCGAGGTCACGCCACTGCACTCCAACCTGGTGACAGAGTGAGGCTCTGTCTCATTAAAAAAAAAAAAAAAAAAGTCACTCAAAAAACTACATAAAAGTTCATGGTAACTTTATTCACAATAGCAAAAAACTGGAGGAAAAAACCAAATGTCTCGTAACAGGTGAATGGTTACAAGAATTTAACCCACATGGTTAAAAACATGGTGGTCCGTCCATACCATGGAAGGTTCCTCCAGTCAAAGAAACACACTCGCAGTGCACACAACTGGATGGACCTCAGGACATCATGCCGACCTCCACACCCACACCCTACAGCACTCCACTGATGCAACATTCTTGTAATGGCAAAACCATACAGATGGAGGACATACCAGTGGCTCCCAGGGGTTAAGGCTGGGAAAAGAAGGTGGCTGTGGCTGTAAGCGGGCAGCTCAAGAGGTCCCTGTGGTGGCTGTGCTGCGTCTTGGCCATGGCTCACACAAACCCTACAGTGACAGAGGCGCAGAACTAAACCACACACACACGGGTGGACACATGGAAAGCTGTGAAATCTGAACAAAGTCAATGCAGCACAATGATTCAACATCCCCTTGAGCTACTGTACTCCACTGACAGGTGCACTGTTACCACGGAGCTATTTGCCAAGTCTACAAGGGATCTCTGAGCCATTTCTTTATTTTTAATGTATTTTTCTGTATCTATTGTTTTTTTCTCTGAGACGGAGTCTCACTCTGTCTCCCGGGATGGAGTGCAGTGGCGCGATCTCAGCTCACTGCAAGCTCTGCCTCCCAGGTTCACGCCATTCTCCTGCCTCAGCCTCCCAAGTAGCTGTGACTACAGATGCCCGCCACCACACCTGGCTAATTTTGTATTTTTCGTAGAGACGGGGTTTCACCACGTTGGCCAGGCTGGTCTCAAACTCCTGACCTCAGGTGATCCACCTGCCTCAGCCTCCCAAAGTGCTGGGATTACAGGTGTGAGCCAGTGTGCCTGGCCTTTTATTTTTTGTAGACAGGGTCTTGCTCTGTTGCCCAGGCTGGAGTACAATGGTGCAATCACGACTCACTGCAGCCTCAAACTCCTGGGCTCAAGTGATCCTCCCACCTCAGCCTCCCAAGCAGCTGGGACTATAGGCACACACCACCATGCCCAGCTAATTTTTTAGTGTATTTTAGAGACGGCGTTTCACCATGTTGCCCAGGCTGGTCTCGAACTCCTGGGCTTAGGTGATCCTCCTGTCTGGGTCTCCCAAAGTGCTGGGATTACAGGCGTGAGCCACCATGCCTGGCCTGAATCATTTCTTACGGTTGTATGTGAATCTTCAATTATCTCAACATAAAAAAATTAAAAATAAAAATAATGAACAAGCAAGCCATAGAATGGGGAATAATATGTGCAACACACAACCAACGATGGATACAAAAAGGGCCACCAGGCTGGGCATGGTGGCTCATGCTTGTCATCCCAGCACTTTGGGAGGCCGAGGTGGGTGGATCACGAGGTCAAGCGATCAAGACCATCCTGGCCAA